GGGGGGACGGGGCTGGAAGGCAAAGTACGCGAGTATGGTGAACACCGCACACTAGTAATAAGCAGCCAGAGAGAGGGGACGAACTAGGCACGATACTGGCAAGGTAAAGTGTGGAGGTGGAAGAAGGAAGGAGGGGGGCAAAGAAGATTTGAGCACTGTGGTAATTTTATTGTCCTTCTGAGAAGTAGAGAGGGGCACTTGGTAAAGGTGTCGTACGAGGTCTATTGTCGATACTGTGGCTTGTGTAATGACGCTAAGATGTGAGAAACAGACAGATTTATCAGACCGTCAGAGCCAAGGACAGCAAAAAGGATTAGAGGCGGAGTGGCTATGGGAGGGGTAACACCAAGGGAGGCAGCAGAAAGATGGGACCCCCCCCCAGACGTGGGGGGGAAGTTATGTAAACACGAGAAAATGAATCACGGGTAAGTCTCCCTGGAGGCGGAGATGAGAAACTGCCATAGATAAGGGAGGACCTTCTTCTGCCTCATTGAGGCAACGGATTTCACATTCATTTAAAGTAACCTGGCAACGGCTGGAGTACGAAGGGTGAGCCTTCATTACAATTAGGCAAGATGGAGATCGACTGCAAGATGTAAATTAGAAAAGGTCCGTCGCACACAGACTGGCAATCAGCCATAATCTGCAATATTTGGCTGGTTGAACCAAAACGGCCAGCAATATTCTACACTGTTGCGGTGTAGGTATCACCTTTCAACTTTTAACCGATGTCCCGCGACCTATACAGAGACGATAGTTCTCGCGTGAAAAGTTAAACGAGCTAACCTGCAAAGGTAACGTCTCTGCCCACGGCAGTAAGACATAAGTGTCTACTTTGAGGATTGGGATCCTGGAGTTCCAGCTGTTCACAAGAATGACATTGCCCACATGACTGCAATTCTGTTTGGTATGGGGCAGAATACAGTACCACTACAAGAATTGAAGAGATGTTTATTCAATAGTGATAGGATAGTTATCATATAATGCGAAGGAGAGAAAGATCATGAGCTTGGGTAGCATTCAGGACAGTGACAAAGCGCGTACCGCTCTTGATAGCATGAAATGAAATATCTCAAACCAACATGAACTCAGGAGCGCTTTGCCAATACTATGGTCCAGAAAGGTAGCACAAGGAAGAATTCGGACTTAAAGTAAAGAAATTAGTCCATTGTGTGGTCCAAAACAGGTGAGGAGAGGGATGCATGCCTGTCGGTCCTTTTTCCGAGTAAATGGGAAGGTAACAAAGGAGCAATCATCAGGAGATTTGACTTGGGCGATTAGGAGTAGACCGAGATGGTCCGGCGTGAAATGGGGCGGCCTGATTCGAAAATTGCCATAACCCTATAGGGAAAGCCGGAAGCAAAGTCCAAGTAGATCGGAAGTTCAGAACAAAACGAAGGATCAGTCGAAGCCCCGGAACCCTAATGCGGGGTGGAGAAACAGCACTCAGCAAGAGGTACAGTGGGCATCAGGAGTGGACTAAAAACAAGGCAGGGTCAGAATGTGTGCGAAAATCAAGAAGGGGCACCGGGGTAGGGGTTCAAGTGATTGGGTTCTCCATGGTAGGTTACTCCTTAGCTTTTTGTATTTAAGAAAAAAAAAGAAAAAAAAAAGGGGGGTAGCAGGGAGGAATAGTTCCCAGGAGGAATGAAAAGTGCTGGAATCTCCCTCCCACCCAAGAGACCTCAGCACTGCTAGTAGAAGCAGATGCAGCATGGAACCCGTGCCATACCCTAGAACCCGGCATCCAGTAAACCCAGCAATCCGGGATCGAAACGCCCACATCTGCCGAGGCAGCCTCAGTGGACAAAAGAAGGCGGCGGATATCCGCACAAAGCAACCTCCTTCGGCCCCACAACACCCCAGGAATCCGAAAAGGTGGCTTCCAGAGATACACCTGTCGCCCCGAAAGAACACCTCAACGCTACTCCGGATACCGGAGAGGGAATCCGGTACATCCCCAGTCAATCCAATTTCCACTGCAAACTACACCACCGCCAAGAACCCTCAACGAATGGGATGGACCCCCCGGTATCCTTGTCCCCTAACTAGGAAACTAGCGCGCCTGTGGGAGAAATCCCCAAAGGCCAAAAAGAGGAAGGGCAAAAGGGAGGGGTGGGGAGGAGGAGGAGGAAAGGAAAAAAGGGAGGATGGGATAGGGGAGGGGAGATTGGGGGGTAATTAGGTTCGGTCTGAGGAAGAAGACCGACAGGTCTAATTCCTCAGACCAAGAGCCTCTTCACCACGCCAAGGAGCCCCCCTTGAAGAGGTCCTAGTATCAAGTGCCTTCACACTGGCAATGTACTTAATTTCCTCGAAGGGGTGTAAGGAAAAGAACAGGCCTGCTGAATGTGAATTCCTCTTCACTAAACACACCAACTTAAACATGCATATGTTACAAAAAAAAATTCAACAGACATTTCAAATAAATGTTGAGGTGCTGAATTATTGCATTCTTCACAAAAAAAAAAAAAAAAAAAAAGTGATTAAGAGATTGAAATCAAGTCTTGCATTTTTTGTTGGGGGCTCAAACCAGTGAAAGACAATTGACACCCCCCTCCCCCACACATGCAAAATCTTTCTTGCTGCCTTTTTTGTTTTGCCTTTTCTTCCCGGCAAAACTCAATGGTCCTTTTTTAAAAGGTAAACCTTTGCAGCCCTTAATTTAATCTTATTTGGCAAAGGGGTTTTCCCCCCCCCCCCCTTTTCCCCCCCCCCCCCCCCAAAACCCCCCCCCCCCCCCCCCCCCCCCCTTTCCCCCCGGGATAGGGAAATGACCCTCCCACTATGTCCATTGTTACCTAGCATTTGTAAAGTGAGGGAAGTCGGGAAAATATTATTTTAATCAAGGGGGAAGCGCAAAAAACCGGAGGTTTTTACAGCCTGGGGGGGCGTGTGGAAGGCATTCAGGTTTAATTGGGGGAACTGGAGCACGATCCAAATTTCCCCAAAATAAAGACCCCCTCCCCAAATCAAGGCCCCTTCCTTGGGGTTGGTAAATAGACTTTTTGGGTTTTTATAGGCCACGTCTCTCCAAGTCTTTTGGCTTTGTAAGGGCCGTTCCCCATAGCCCCTTTATACGTTGGATACGTATTTCTAATCCTTTGCGAAAAAACCACTGGTTATTGCCATATTTTTTGACCTTGAGAAGGCACATGACATAACTTAGAGGTATAATATTTTGGCCCAAGCCCACTCCTTAGGCCTCCAAGGCAATCTACCATCCTTAAGAACTTTTTAACTGACAGACATTTCCGTGTTCGGGTTAATAATGTGCTCTCCTCGGACTTTGTCCAAGGTGAAGGTGTCCCCCAGGGATGTGTCCTGAGCACAACACTTTTTCTCCTTGCTATAAATGATCTGACCTCGAGTCTTCCATCCAGTATTTGGTCATCCCTCTATGTTGATGGCTTTGCTATTGCTTGTGCAGGCGCTGACTGTCACCTCATTACAGTTTCTCTCCAGCATGCGGTTGACGATGTTTCCAATTGAGCCAACACACACTGGTTTAAATTTTCCAGTACCAAAACTCATCAAATTACTTTCACTAGACACTTTGTCATCTCCGATCATCCTTTGCACCTCTATGGCTCCCGTATCCCTGAATATGATAGTCAGGTTTCTAGGCCTTCTCTTTGACCATAGGTTATCTTGGAAACCTCGCATTACCTCTCTGAAGGCAACTTGTCACAGCCGGCTGAACCTTCTTAAAACCCTTGCTCATCTTTCATGGGGAGCTGATCATCGAACTCCTTCGCCCTCATTTTGTCGAAACTCAATTATGGTGACCAGATCTATTCAGCGGCCTCTCCTGCTACTCTCTCCAGCCTTAACCCCCATCCATCACCAAGGATTACGTTTATGCCTTGGTGCTTTTCGCTCTTTCCCTGTTGAGAGGCTCTATACAGAAGCGAATGTTCCATCCTTGTCCGATCGCCAGGATGCCCATTGCCTTCGTTACTATGTATGCTCTCATGGTTTCCACAATCCTTACATTTATAGAATGGTCACTGATATTAGTAGACATTCTTTATTTGTTCGCCGTCCCTGTTTGCTCCGTCCCTTCTCTCTTCGCCTACATTCGCTCTTGTCTTCCCTTCAGTTACCACCTTTCTATGTTCATGTAGCATCTCACTTTTCCCTACCCCCATGGGAAGTTCCAGCTGTTTGAGTCTGTTATTTCTTACTCCCTTGCTCGAAAGCCCAACTGCCTGCAGTAGCTTCCCGCTCTCTTTTTCTTGTCCACTTCCACTCTCATTCTCATGTCATCGCAGTGTACACAGATGGCTCTAAGTCTTCTGACAGCGTCGGATTCGCAGCAGTGTTTCAGGACAGCGTCGTGCGAGGACATTTACTATCTTTGGCTAGCATTTTTACTGCTGAATTGTATGCCATTCTTGCAGCACTTATCCGTATTGCATCTATGCCTGTGCCATCATTTGTGGTTGTCTCAGACTCCCTTAGCGCTCTACAGGCTAAACGAAAATTTGATACACCTCGCCCCCTAGTTCTCCGTATACAGCTTTGGCTTCACAACATCTCTACCAAGCATAAAGATATTGTTTTTTGTTGGGTCCCTGGTCATGTCGACGTACAGGGCAATGAACAGGCAGACACTGCTGCGCGGTCAGCAGTACATGACCTACCAATTTCCTATCGAGGTGTTCCATTTCTGGACTATTTGGCTGCAATAGCTACCCACCTTCGCACCCGTTGGCAACAACGTTGGTCAACTCTGCTCGGTAACAAACTTCATTCTATTAAACCGAGCATAGGTTACTGGCCGTCTTCTTGTCATCAGTGCCGAGGTTGGGAGACCACTCTCTCCCGCCTTCGCATTGGCCACACTCGTCTTACTCATGGGTATCTCATGGAGAGGCACCCTGTTCCTCTCTGAGCAGTGTCAAGTTCCAGTATCGATTAGCCACATTCTGTTAGACTGCCCTCTCTATCAACGAGCACGCAGAATTTACCTCCAACGTCGTCTTCGTTCTACTACTCTCTCTTTACCTTCCCTTCTTGCTGATGGACCCTCCTTTAATCCTGACTCTCTCACCGACTTCTTGACAACGACTGATTTACTCCACAAACTCTGATGATACTTTTCGCACTCCCCTCAGCCCTTTCTAGTTCAGTCTCTTGCTGCCCTTTACCCTTTCACCATCCACTACCCCGCTGTTATCCGTAACCTATTACTCATCCATCTCCCTTTTGCCACCTGATGCCCTCGCTTCCTTCCTGCCCTGCAGCGCTGTATAGTCCTTGTGGCTTAGCGCTTCTTTTTGATTATAATAATAATAATAATTGGTTAAGCAAAGAGTTTACTGTAAATGTTCAAGGTAAGCAAGCAGGGATACAAGTCAGTCTGTTGTTATTATTATTATTATAATCAAAAAGTAGCACTAAGCCACAAGGGCTATACAGCGCTGCAGGGTAGGGAAGGAAGCGAGGGTATTGGGCGGCAGAAGGGGGGGGGGAGGGATGATCAGTAGGTTACAGAAAACAGCGGGGCAGGGGATAGTGCGGGGGTAGAGGGTAGCAAGAGATTGCGGTAGAAAGGGCTGAAGGCATCAGAGTTTCTTAAGTCAGTCAGTTGTTGTCAAAAAGTCAGTGAGAGAGTCCGGATGAAAGGTGGGTCCATCAGCGAGAAGGGAAGGTAAAAAGAGAGCAGCGGAGCGAAGACGACGACGGAGGTAAATTCTGCGTGCTCGTTGAGAAAGTGGGCAGTCCAACAGAATGTGGCTGACTGATAATGGGGCCTGACAAGTCTCACAGAGAGGAGCAGGACGCATCTCCACGAGATATCCATGAATAAGACGAGTATGGCCAATGCGAAGACGGGAGAGAGTAGTCTCCCAACCTCGACACTGGTGACAAGAAGACGGCCAGTAACCTATACTCGGTTTAACAGATTGAAGTTTGTTACCGAGTATAGTAGACCAACATTGTTGGCAACGGGTGTTAAGGTGGGTAGCTATTGCAGCAAAATAGTCCGTAAATGGAATACCTCTACATGAAACTGGTAGGTCATGTACTGCTGACCGCGCAGCAGTGTCTGCCTGTACATTGCCCTGTACGTCAACATGACCAGGGACCCAACAAAAAACAATATCTTTATGCTTGGTAAAGATGCGGCGTAGCCAAAGTTGGATACGGAGGACTAAGGGGTGAGGTGCATCAAATTTCTGTGTAGCCTGTAAAGCACTAAGGGAGTCTGAGACAACCACAAATGATGACACAGGCATAAATGCAATACGGATAAGCGCTGCAAGAAAGGCATACAATTCAGCAGTAAAAATACTAACCGAAGATAGTAAATGCCCTCGTACGACACTGTCCAGAAACACTGCTGCAAATCCTACGCCGTCAGAAGACTTAGAGCCATCTGTGTACACTGCAATGTCATGAGAATGAGAAGGGAGAGAGAGAACAGACTCGGAACAGCTGGAACTTCCCAGGGGGGTAGGGAAAAGTGAGATGCTACATGAACATAGAAAGGTGGTAACTGAAGAGAAGACAAGAGCGAATGTAGGCGAAGAGAGAAGGGACGGAGTAAACGGGCAGCGAACAAATAAAGAATGTCTACTAATATCAGTGACCATTCTATAAATGGAAGGATTGCAGAGATCATGAGAGCGTACATAGTAGCGAAGGCAATGGGTATCACAGCGATCGGATAAGGATGGAACGTTCGCTTCTGCATAAAGGAAGGGAAGAGCGAAAAGCACCAAGGCATAAACGTAATCCTTGGTGATGAATGGGGTTAAGGCTAGAGAGAGTAGCAGGAGAGGCTGCTGAATAGATCTGGTCACCATAATCAGGTTTCGATAAAATGAGGGTGGAATATAGGCGAAGGAGAGTTCGACGATCAGCTCCCCATGAAAGATGAGCAAGGGTTTTAAGACGGTTCAGCTGGCTGTGACAAGTTGCCTTCAGAGAGGTAATGTGAGTCAGTCTGTTGTACCATATAGTATACATTAAAACACTGCATGCAGACAAACAGAAATGAAAATGTGACTATTTTTTTTTTTTGTCAATCTAATTTCAAGAATATTTATTTTAAATAGGAGCATGTTGGAAATGGGCAATGATAAACAGTCATCATGTTCATTAGTCATACAATATTTTTTTTTATCATTAACTGATATTTATTTTTATTTCATGGATTAACATCCACAACTCAAACTATGGAACAAAAAGATCAGATCTGCTAAATTTCTATTAAAAAAAAACCAGTTATCCTCTTAAATTCCCATACGATATACAGGTACAACATTGATTTTCTGGACACTGATGGTCTGGAAACTTATAATCCATACAAATTTACGAGAAGGAACTTGAAATTCCAGCAGCAGTTTATTTACCCCCAACCGTACATCACTTATCCAACCCCAAGAAATACGGCGCTCTCTAATGGAGGAAAACTTGGTAATCCTGAAATGCTTTGGAACCAAAGGGTCCAGAAAATCGATGTTGTACCTGTACAGTATTTAAAAACTAATATAAAAAATGGTGTCTCTGGACTATATATAACATACAAGGTTTCATCATTTGCTTATCTCTTCAGCCGATACTTTAATCCAAATGATGCCAGTTCTATACTTCAGATCACATGGGGAAGATATCCAGTTCCCTGGCAATTAAAAAAAACTGATCTAGTATGCTAGAAGTTTAATATGTTAAAGAAGCATCAACTAAGGAATGACAACTTCTTGCAACAAAAACAATGCATATCCATTAAAAAAAAAAAAAAAAAAAAGAGATAGTTACAGAACCTGAAGTCAATATTGTACAGTATATTCTGCTAAAGAAGATTTTTAATCAATTTAAATAAAGCATTACTAATGAAGTAAACAGCTAAATAAAAACTGATTAGTGGTGTGTTATGTGCAATGAATAGATTTATAAATGAAGGGAACAAACTAATTTGGTGGAAGGAATGAGAAGGGAAGAGGGAGGGGGAAGGTGTAAATGTGTTACAGAGACCATATCACATTTTGATTAATAGTGACAATCATAAATAATGACCACAATCGAGCTGGGCATGGAAAGTGGAGGAGTCAGATAAATATTGGATAACTGAATTTATGAACAAACTTGTAAGGAAAACTTCACAGAACACACATCTATGTAACTCATTTAGCACTGCACGTTATGTTGAGAAAAAAAATTAAAAGTTTAATTGCAAGGGCAAGGAGAAAAGGAGAGTACAGTAATTAAAAATTTATGCAATATATTGGACAAGGATGAAAAGCCATACACAATCTAAATTAAAGGTGGGCCTTTCAGGAGGCAGGCAGACAAGCAAATCAGGGCACTGATGACAAAATTCATAATAAATGTGCCATGATTTAAATGTAAAAATATTTGGAAAAAGAATAGCATCCTGTTGCAGATCAAACTAGAGCATGCAGTCAGAAAGCTTACTGACATGAAAATTGAAATGGCTAGAAATCCATCAAAAGATGGGTTTCTAGTCATTTATAGATGAATCACAACCAATGCTAAATACAAAGTAGTGAAAAAGCAAAGGTCTCCTTGGTGACTAACAAATGATGAAACAAAGAGTATTATAAGTAAATTTAGGCTAGGCCATAACACAAACCTTTAACCCTTAAACGGTATCTGACATATTAGTATGCGAGTGCTGTCCAATATACTAGCATGGACAATTTTTAATATCTGCCACCTGCTAATATTTTTGACCTTAGCACAACTCTGGGCTTTCTTCAATCTATTCAAGCACTTGAAAAAAATCTAAGGCCAAGAGGGTACACAGTGTATCATGTTAGTTACACAAGTGTTGACTATGTCCTACACACTAGTATGCCAAATTAGCAAAAATAAACAATGAAACCAGGAGCTGTTATTCCACTACCAGCTTCCCTACTAGCAAACAGTGCAAGTGGCACAAAGATGACTTATTCATTCCAAATTTATGATACTAACAGTGGAATTCACCAACAAAACTCGGTAAAGTCAAACAATGACTTATTTCCACGTTTTAAGGTATATTAACCCATAAACGGTCCAAACGTATATATACATTTTTTCAACATCTGAAAGTATGTAAAAAAATGTAGATCTTTTTTGTTTTACATTTGAAAACGTGTAAAAAAATTTTATCTACATTTTTTTTTTTGTTATATTTGAAAATATGTAAAAAAAGTAGATCTACTTTTGTAGCACTACGAATTTGAACGTCGATCTGTTTGGACTGTTTAAGGGAGGAGTATGGAAGAAGTGAATGTTTTCAGATACTTGGGAGTTGACATGTCGGTGGATGGATTTATGAAGGATGAGGTTAATCATAGAATTGATGAGGGAAAAAAGGTGAGTGGTGCGTTGAGGTATATGTGGAGTCAAAAAACGTTATCTATGGAGGCAAAGAAGGGAATGTATGAAAGTATAGTAGTACCAACACTCTTATATGGGTGTGAAGCTTGGGTGGTAAATGCAGCAGCGAGGAGACGGTTGGAGGCAGTGGAGATGTCCTGTTTAAGGGCAATGTGTGGTGTAAATATTATGCAGAAAATTCGGAGTATGGAAATTAGGAGAAGGTGTGGAGTTAATAAAAGTATTAGTCAGAGGGCAGAAGAGGGGTTGTTGAGGTGGTTTGGTCATTTAGAGAGAATGGATCAAAGTAGAATGACATGGAAAGCATATAAATCTATAGGGGAAGGAAGGCGGGTTAGGGGTCGTCCTCGAAAGGGTTGGAGAGAGGGGGTAAAGGAGGTTTTGTGGGTAAGGGGCTTGGACTTCCAGCAAGCGTGCATGAGCGTGTTAGATAGGAGTGAATGGAGACGAATGGTACTTGGGACCTGACGATCTGTTGGAGTGTGAGCAGGGTAATATTTAGTGAAGGGATTCAGGGAAACCGGTTATTTTCATATAGTCGGACTTGAGTCCTGGAAATGGGAAGTACAATGCCTGCACTTTAAAGGAGGGGTTTGGGATATTGGCAGTTTGGAGGGATATGTTGTATTCTGAGCACCTCTGCAAAAACAGTGATAATGTGCGAGTGTGGTGAAAGTGTTGAATGATGATGAAAGTATTTTCTTTTTGGGGATTTTCTTTCTTTTTTGGGTCACCCTGCCTCGGTGGGAGACGGCCGACTTGTTGAGAGAGAAAAAAAAAAAAAAAAAAAATCTATTTCTACAAGTACATGTACAAGGTATACAGACCTAGCTGATATCAATGACATACCATACCCCTGGCTGGGATTGAACCCGCGGTCATATAGTCTCAAAACTCCAGCCCGTGCGTATATAGAAAGCCACTCATTATACAGAGCATTTCGGGCAAATTAGGTCAATTTTGTCCCAGGATACAACCCACACAAGTCGACTAACACCCAGATACCCATTTTTACTGATGGGTGAACATGGACAACCAGTGTAAGGAAACATGCCCAATGTTTCCACCCTATGCCGGGAATCAAACCTGGACCCTTCACCATATGAAGCGAGAGCTTTGCCACCAGGCCATGGGCCACCGTAACATTGAAACTCAAACAACTGTGTTCCTTTTACATAGTATTGGGAAACCAAAATATAATAAAACAATTATATATAAGTATATACCTTCGATGAGTTGAGTTTTTCTATTCCAGACAGGCTCATTTGGTGCTTGCCTGGTCAACCAGGCTGTTGCTATTGGTGGCCCACAGCCCCACATATCCATCAGCCTGGTTGACCTGGCACCTAGTGAAGAAACTTGTCAGGCTGTTGCCAATGAGTGATCATTTTTTTTCACCAGCTTCAACATATATAAAATCTTAATTTTTTTTTCGGATTCTACTCATTTTAGTCTTATTTGATTCAGAAAATACACTTCCATTCTAGATATTTTTTCACACTGGAATTTTTTACTTAAGGGTATGCCACAGTTTAAGGGTTAAAAAAAAATGTCAAGAGAGGTGAGGAGACAGTCAAGGTCAAGAGAAGGGAAGAGAGTCGTCATGATCAAAAGAAAGGTTCACATGAAAGGTATCAATGATCATATCAGAACCAAAGTGTTTTGGAAAAAAAGCAGTTTGATTCAAATTGGAAAAAACAGGCCAAATGTCTGGCACAATCAAAAAAAAAATAAAAATAAAATTTGAATGTTTATATCTTTTGACACAAGAATGGGCTGGGAAAAGAAAGAGCAAGTTTGAGTCAAAAGTGATACAGAGTTTTCAACAAAGGAAGAAATCAAGGGCAGACATGGACCTTAGGAATTTCTCATGATAAGAGGGAGAAATCCTAGGTAGTAGGCTGGTAGAGAGCAACTGCCCAGGAAGGTACTACCGTCCTGCCAAGTGAGTGTAAAACAAAAGCCTGTAATTGTTTTACATGATGGTAGGATTGCTGGTGTCCTTTTTTCTGTCTCAAACATGCAAGCTTTCAGGTACGTCTTGCTGCTTCTACTTACACTTAGGTCACCCTACACATTTTTTTTTTTTCAACAAGTCGGCCGTCTCCCACCGAGGCAGGGTGACCCAAAAAAGAAAGAAAATCCCCAAAAAGAAAATACTTTCATCATCATTCAACACTTTCACCACACTCACACATTATCACTGTTTTTGCAGAGGTGCTCAGAATACAACAGTTTAGAAGCATACACATATAAAGATACACAACATATCCCTCCAAACTGCCAATATCCCAAACCCCTCCTTTAAAGTGCAGGCATTGTACTTCCCATTTCCAGGACTCAAGTCCGACTATATGAAAATAACCGGTTTCCCTGAATCCCTTCACTAAATATTACCCTGCTCACACTCAACAGATCGTCAGGTCCCAAGTATCATTCGTCTCCATTCACTCCTGTCTAACACGCTCATGCACGCTTGCTGGAAGTCCAAGCCCTTCGCCCACAAAACCTCCTTTATCCCCTCTTTCCAACCCTTTCGAGGACGACCCCTACCCCTCCTTCCTTCCCCTATAGATTTATATGCTTTCCATGTCATTCTACTTTGATCCATTCTCTCTAAATGACCAAACCACCTCAACAACCCCTCTTCTGCCCTCTGACTAATGCTTTTATTAACTCCACACCTTCTCCTAACTTCCACACTCTGAATTTTCTGCATAATATTTACACCACACATTGCCCTTAGACAGGACATCTCCACTGCCTCCAACCGTCTCCTCGCTGCTTCATTTACCACCCAAGCTTCACATCCATGTAAGAGTGTTGGTACTACTATACTTTCATACGTTCCCTTCTTTGCCTCCATAGATAACGTTTTTCGACTCCACATATACCTCAACGCACCACTCACCTTTTTTCCCTCATCAATTCTATGATTAACCTCATCCTTCATAAATCATACATGTACAAGTATATATATACTACACACACCCCTCTGGGTTTTCTGCTATTTTCTTTCTAGTTCTTGTTAGTGTTTATTTCCTCTTATCTCCATGGGGAAGTGGAGCAGAATTCTTCCTCCGTAAGCCATGCGTGTTGTAAGAGGCGACTAAAATGCCGGGAGCAAGGGGCTAGTAACCCCTTCTGTATAAATTACTAAATTTCAAGAGAGAAACTTTCGTTTTTCTTTTTGGGCCACCCCGCCTCGGTGGGATATGGCCGGTTTGTTGAAAGAAGGAGGGAAAAATAAATTTACTTGTATTAAGTGAGAATCCT